AAAAAAAATATATTTCAGTGTAAATATTTGTAATATTTGTAATTATGTATATAAATAATTATTCACGAAATTTCCGACTGACATGATAGTGACAATGTGACATCCCCCCTCCCCCTTTTTTTACTTCATTTTTTTTTATAACCAAAAATAATTTCTTTTTTTTTTAAAATAGAATCTTATTATAGTACTTGTAAAATAATATTTTTTATTTTTATTTTATTTTTTATTTTCTTTTCAGGATTTTTATCCTGTTTTTATGATGACAGATTGGGGTGGATAAATTTTTTGAGGGGTTAAGAAGTAAGAGGAGGGAAAGATAAAAAGACTTTATTTAAATTTTTATTTTGTTATTTTGAGGGTAGTAATTAATATTTGTGAATGTTTTTAGGCAAACACATAAATGCGAATTAAATGAAATTAATAATTACTTCTTATATCAAATATATCAAGCATCATTGTGTATGATCATCGCGTTAAAATGGTGTCAAAGAATTATGTAATTTTAACAAATAACAATATAAACAGAAATTTCCCATATTTAATAGTTAATAATATTTAATATTTATATAATAAATATATTATATATGTATATACATTGTAAAGGAAAAAAATAAAAATAAAAAAATTATATAGTAAATATGTTATGTATATATTAAAAGATCGGATAGTTGGATCAAAAAAAAAAAAAAATTTACAAAAAAGAAAGAAGAAAAAAACTTCCTAATATAGAACTAGAAAAAAAAACTATCAAATATATCAAATATCCTTAAAATAGTAATCAACCATATATTTCTATACATTATCTATCTAAAAAAAGAATAATAATGAAAAAAAAAAAATATTATTGTAAAAAAAACCAAATCTCCTTTTCAAAAAAAAATTTGACTCATTATTTCACATTCTTATCCGCCTTTTTTTTATCATCATCATCAAATACAGGTCTTAATTTATCATCCCAAGCATAAGGTGTTCTACGTCTTTTAACTTTTTTCTCTTTTTTTTCTATAGTCGGTAACGTACCAAATTTAACATGTTGTTGATCTTCTTTATCACCACAAAGTTCTTTGGTTGGATCAATTAATGTATCTTTGATCGGTTTGGGTTCATCAGCGAAAGTAGTTGATAAATTATCATGTTTATCTCCAAGTACCGAACTTGATGATGTTGATGTTGCCATTTTTGAAACTTGTTAAATTTTTTCGTTCTCGTTTTTTTGTACTCTTATAAATAAATAAAAAAGAGAAGTGTAATATTTTCAAGTACGAGGTAAAAAAAAAAGTATATTTTTTGATTTAAAAATAAATTGATTTTAAAAGTTTTTAAAAAAAAAGAAATTGAAAAAAAAAAATTGGATAAAAGAATCGGATTTTTATAAGTTTACTTGGCTGTGACGTTTGTGACGTTATTCTATTATTCCATTCATTAAGTCATTAAGTATTACGTATTATCGGAAATTATCTCACACTAAAAACCAATGATTTGATTATATAATGATGATGATGATATAATATTCAAATGATAATATTCAAATGATTTGATCAGAAGTTCACAGCGAAAAATAAAGTTAAGAAAGGTAAGAACAAAACAATATGATATATATAGTATATTTTACAATACAAAATATATATATATTTATTATATATATATATTCCGTATAATTAAATAGAAAAAGATTTTTAAAATGAATATAATAAAATAAGTAAAACAAGAAAAAAAAGGAAACAATAAAAATTTTTATTTACAGAACTACAAAAGGTATTAAACGATACAAACGATTTTTTTTTTCTTTTTATGATATATAAAATGAATTAAATAAAAATTGATAAATAAATGAAGATCTATTATTATAGAATTTTTCCATCGGACAAAATAATATAATATAATGGAAATGAATATTTTTTTTTTTAAACAATGAAAAATTCTTCAAAAAAAATCTCTTATTTATAAAGCAAAAATTAGAAATTCGTGAGAAAAATTAAAAAGCCATCGTAATTGAATATATTGCCACGTTTTTTAATATCATAATCATGAATTTTTAGTAATCTTTTAAATTTAACCAAAAAAAGTAAACTTTACGGAGAGATCCGAATGATACCTTTCAAACTAAGATTTATTTTATTATATAAAATTATTTTTAAATGAAACTAACTGTATTAAGTAATTTAAATCGACTTTAAGAAGAATCTGGGCTTATGATGTTGGATTACTAATTGTTTCTTAATGATTATTGAGTTAATAAACTAACTAAAATTTGAAGAGATAATTCCTTAAAAGGATAAATATATTTTCTCGAAAAATCATAGAAAATAAATATTACACGCATATTGTAAATTCATATTTGATCGTCGGAATTATTACGAAACTTCATTAATCCCACTATGGTAAGAATGTTACTAATTTACCAGTTCAAATTTTAATATTTACATATATCTTGTAAACGCATTGTAAGGTGCATTGGCCATTGGTGATTGATGATGTCCGGTTTTGACCTGTAATCCCTGTAATCGTCCAGTAATCGTAATCGTAATCGTTCGGTAATCGCTCGGTAATCAGAGTTTCCCCCATTTTGAAAACGCCGA